TGGAATACGAAATAATTGAGTGCTGTTTCTATTTTTACTTCACTGATTTCAATGTACATACTTGTCTTGAGAGGCTGAGTGGAGAGCAAGGAAGCCCAAATTGATAGGCTGTCCCAAACTCCTTAAAAAGAAATACAGTATATTTGTATTTAAACACCACAGACTAATTGTTGAACATGTAGGAGGGAACTTTTAAAACATTCAGTTGGCGGAAATGACAGACCTACCTTCTTTTGAGATACCAAAATACATATAGAAACACAAGACTGGGTTATACCAATAATTACAGATTCTTTAGCATTCTGAGAAAATTATAAAGTGAATGTTTATGTCAACTATTACTTTACCTGCTGTTCCTAGGACAATAGCAGTAAATGAAGGAGAGTAGACAATCCTGCATGTGAATTCGTATCTTTGTATATTTTAAGCACAGAGAGAAGCAGATAAATCATTTTGCCTCCTTCATACTCATTTACCAGAAAAATGGCACCATTAAAATAGTCAAAAGGGCGACATCTACAGAGTCCAAATGGTACAAGGCATAAAATGATTTTCCAAAATATCATCTTTACGCTTTTACAGAACTGGAGTTAGTTGTAAAATATCAAAGTATTGACAGATGTAATGAAGTTTTATAAAAAGAGGGATTCAATTGAAAAAATATATGTGAGACTGTAAGATCAAATCAGCAAGCATATCTCATTATTTGTTATTCAAGTCCTAATTATTTCCAGAAATTCTCCTTAGGTGCATTAGAATAATTTAAGTCACGGAAACAGAGCTTTGTTCACACTTGACATACTTAACTGAATAGAAAACTAAATTTTAGTTCTTTTCATTTCATCAGTGGAAGCATACAAGGATATTTGAAAGGCCAGCTTAGTGCTTTAGCCTGATACCCAATCAGCTGTAATAAAGGAATTGGGAGTTAGGGGTTGGCAGACTCCAGATTGCCCAGGTGCTGTATACAGGCGTTACTGGACTGTGGGTCTCTCAGAGAAGTGTTGCTGGGGTTGTGATCTGAGGCTGCAGGAAGCAGATATGTTATCTCCACTCTCTTTTGACAACATATGAGAATTCATTACTGACCAATTCCAGTTACTTTATGTCTTCTCCATGCCCCTGAGATAAGCAGATGCATCAAACTGAACCTCAGTCTAAAGAAAATTCTAAAGAATCTAAAGAAAATTCACCTTTCAGGCTTTACTTCTGCCTTATCATTTTAGTGATACAATAATCTTGAAACTGACATAAATCTACTTACTAACTCCAATACTCTTTTTGTGTACTATGAACACATCATTTGCATTGCACATGGATACGCTTGTGAATATGAAAATGTATCTCTAAATGTGTATTCCAAGTGGTTAAATACTTGCAGAGTTTTCTTTTTGCTGTGAAGTGTTTTTAGTTCCAAATCGTAGTGAGAAAAAAATCAAATTCTAGACAACCATGAGAAAACAGAGAAAGGAAAAAAGGAACCCAAGTGCAACTTGCTGTTACCAAGTCCTAACTTCATTCTAACTGTGGCTTTAAACAGGAAACCACTACACAGGCAAAATGTGCCCCCACAAATAAACAGTCTGGCCATGGAAAATTAAATATAACCTTCCTAGTCATGTCAGTAGGTAGGAAGCCACCTGATTTGGCAAAGTAAAGATGTTATCTATTGATAGTGCAGCCTGTACAACTGCATATCCAGATGAATTAGGCTGAAAAAATTGTTTATTGGAAAGGGAGTCATGCTTCCTATATGCTTCTTATTCATAGATTCTTAGAATCATTAAGTTTGGAAAAGACTTCAAAATCATCAAGTGCAGCCTTTGACAAAATACCACCATGGTCGCTAAACCATATCACAAAGTGCCACATCTACTTGTTTTTTTGAACACTCCAGAGATGCTGACTCCACCACTTCCCTGGGTAGCCTGTTCCAATGCTTAACCCCTCTTTCCGTGAAGAAATTTTTCCTAATAATCTAGTTGAACCTCCCCTGGTGCAACTTGAGGCCATTTTCCCTTAGCCTCTTGCTAGTTGCCAGGGAGGCAAGGCTGACTCCCCATCTCACCACAACCTTTTTTTCCTACAACCTAAGCTAGAAGTGTCTTACACTGCAAAATGAGGTCATAATTTTATATTTGTTAACTTTTATATTGAAAGGATTGAACAATTAGCAGTGACCTGGAATGGAAATTATGTCGTTCATCTTTATGTCTTCTAATATCTCACGGATAAGATCTGTATTTTTCTGATGTGGTCTCAGTTCTCTATATATCAAAAAAAAAAATCAAAATCAAAAAATCCCAACACATAGGGTCTTGAAGGAAATTCAGAAAGCTGTCTTTACGCAACCGCAATGTTTTTCTTTTAGTCTCTCTACTTAATGTAGTCCAAGAGATCATATGTACTACTATAAAGCTTATCAACTTTTTTCCAAGAAGCAATTTAGAATCACTTATCTAATATAAGTTTTCTAAAGAGAAATGTGTAACAATGTGTCTACAGAGAAAAGGAACAAACCAAAGCCCTACCCACCCTCTGCTGCACATGCAATTCACCTCTAATCAAGGGAGGGGCAGAGGACAAACTACAGTCCTGCTGTTTAATGGAAAGAACATGACTAATGTAGTGTGATAAGGGTGATATATACACTCTAAAAATGCTGGACCAAAGAAATGGACACTGGAAAGAGGATACTTCAGCAATGCTAAATATCACAATTGGAAAATTGCTGGGTTTCAGTTTCTGAATATTGGGGGTGGTTTAGGGTTGTTCTGCCTGCAAGTTCATCCAAATTTTTATGTAATAAGTGTTTGTCATTGGGATACAGAAAATTCCATTTTGGTAAATCTTTTTTTTCAAATGGCTTAAATCCCAACAATTTCAAGCCTATATTGGTTAAAGGGAAGCCCTGCTCCCACTTTAAAAGTTTTGCTACGCATTCACATTTCACAGTAACATGTCTTTCCTTTGTAATAGAATATCTATCAATTATTTATAATTATATTCTTGCACATAAAATGTCCTCAAGAATTATGAAAAAATTATAAAGGTATGCTTAGCATTACATGTACTGCTGAATGTCATAAGAGGCAGAAGAAGAGTAATCAAGTTTTACATTGAACTCATCTGCATTCTGACCTATGAGGATTTCAAGTTTTATTAACAAAAAATAATAAAAATAATCACTCATATTTAGAATTGTACTTGTAAATCAACAGTGTTAGATTCAATGTTCAAATCAAAATTTGACTCGACTGCTGTTATGAAGCCATAAATATCACAGAAATAAATACAAAATACAGCAGGATCTTTCACCTTTTAATCTGTGCTAGTTGCTTAGGTAGGTAAAAACATGGAACAACATATGGACAGCAAAGTTAAAGGCATATAGGTATATAAATATTAAAGACATTGGACATAACATCCAGAGAACAAAACAAACAAAATAAAAACAACAAAACAAAAAACCCCAACAAACCAACCCAACAAAAAATGCTAAACAAGGGTAGCTAGAAAAATTATCTGTCACTGGCAATTTCTACAAAGAGAAATTGCCCCTGAACTGAACACAGTTTAGCTGCAAACATAAGTAAGAAAAGGGCAGACTCAGAGAAACTTCAACATTTTTGTAACAGCATTATAGCAATACATTTTTATTATTATTATTTATCAAGAGCTATTTTATGTGCCTTGCTGACTCACTAACATTGTTGGTTCACTTCCTTACTGAGATAACAAAGAAGGATGTATGCTCTCAGTTGAGATTTCGTCAGTCATTAACCATAGGAGCAGCAAAGCCTAGGGATAAAGCTTAAGTTAATCTTTATAATTTCACATTTTTTACATAACTGTTACTAAAGATAGACCCTGTGAAGGAAGTAAATGTCTTACCTTAGATGGAACTAGCTATTTTTCAGTATACCATAATAAAGTTATACCTTACTGCACTTTTCACAGTTTACATGCATGGTTTAAATTATACTTTGATAAGATTAAAACACAAGCTAAGGAAATAGAATGAGCAGATTCAGCAAACAAGAGTCTAGAACATGCCCACCATGAACTTGGGATATATTGAGATAACTGGGAAGCTACAGATACATAAGTCCAAAGGCTGTATTGCCTCTGATGTACACACACTATACATGTTGTCATTTATTCCTTTGGCAACTTTTTTTCTACTGGTACTTCTTTTCTTCCACAGCCCTTCTCTTACCTTTTTCACTGTGTTTGACATAATTTTTTTTCAGTTTCAGTTTACTCTTGAGCTAATGAGCAGGAGCATACACATGCTGCATAAATTATCGAGGAGATTTAAATAAATTAACTCCTTTATTCCCACAGCACATACCTCATCAAGTCATAAATCACTGAAGAAGCAGCTCGTCCGAATCTCAGCAGCTTTAAGTTAGAAAATTATGCCAATTTACAAGAGATAATATCATAGCATAGAAGTTAGCTTTTCAATATTTAGACAATTGCAAGACCTGCCAAGAACTGAATGACAGTTAAAAGCAGCAAAGGATAGAAAAACAGTAACAACTAACAAATCATTTGATGCCTTTAGCGGTAGTGCTTCAAAAACCATATTAGTAGAATCTTCCTTGTATCTATTCACTCCAGTGTGTGAACACTTCTTTTAACATGTTGTTTGACTCATTACTCTTTTTTAGTTATAAAAATGGAAGGACTCGTTTATATAAAAGAAATACATTAGTTGTATGAATATTATTATCTCATTAATATATTTGTTACTTTAAAACAAAGAAGGCCACATTCACATGATAAATATTTCTCAAGAAATGGCAGTGTGGCATAATTTTATTATGTGATGGATGAAGAAATGAAAACAAGTAGAAATTTGATTGAGACCAATGATATGTCCCTCTGCATTAAGAGAAAAAAAAATAATATCATACAAAGCCCATATTTGCCTAGCTTGGCTTGTGTAAAGTAGGTACCTCGTGTTGTCAGCAATAGGAACAATAAATGGATTGAAGCTGTAGACACAAAGTCACAAAGTCACTTTCATAAGTCACTTTTTGACTTACGCTTTATTTGGTCTGGTCAACCATTTTTATGAGATCAAATTATTTCTGTCGGTTGCAAAGCTGGATTTTAATTAAAGCAGAAAGTTCAGATAATGTTTTTCCTCTTTTTTTTCTGATACTTTTTGAGTCCAAGTGTACTGTGTACAGGGCCATGTCCACAGTTCAGTTTCAGAAGTGATCACCAGCAGCTGTGACAGCAGTGTCAGCATAAAAGGAGGTACCTTGCAAAAACAGTGAAAACATATACTAAATAAAAGCAATATCATAAAGGACATTTCCACTTCACTGGCAACATTCTTTCCAGTGACAGGAACTGGCATGTAGGTATGTAGAATATGTTTGCTTTATATTTTCTATCTGTCCTATATTAATTTTTTCTGACAATTTTACTTTACCATTTCTATAAAAAAAGAATATTTTTTTTTTGTTGACAATAAGCAACCTAGACTAGGAAAAAAGTGTATAGATTAAATAAATAAATAAATTTAAAAAATTAAAACTTTCAAATTTTGAATTTAATTCTGTCCAGCTCTGCTGGGTTCTTATTCTAATCTCCATTCTGGCTTTTTCTAACCTCTTAAGTTAAAAGCTCTGCTTGGAGAAAGATCTGCTTGAAGAAATGCTGGATTTTTCATTTCTTTTCAGTCTCACATTTTTCTCTTATCTTTTCTAGGGTCATAATACATACATTTCAATCTAACAATTAGTTCCTTATTTTCTCAGTCATCCCACACAAGTCAACATATTTGTGGAGGAACTTTCTACAGAGTTAGTGAAATCCAAGCCACACCAGTGTAATGGATCAGCTTTCTATAGATCCCAGTGGGGCCAGAATTTCAGCTAGAAAACAAAAGTCCACAGAAACTGGTCATTGAACTATTTTCATACACATTTAATTGAAAGACAAAGAAAAATTACAAAACCATTGAATATCATCTCTGGTGCTGACTCTAGTAAACCACCAAGTAAACTGATAAATCATGAGACATATCATTTTTTTGTGGCTAAACCCAAATATTCTCTAAGTCCCATCTGGGTTTACAGTGTTTCTATGGGTATATTTACAGTAAAACTTTTAACAGCACTTCAAAAATATTCTTGACCTTTCCTATATTTTTCCAAGTTATTCTGATTCCAAAGCTATCAGAATTCATCATAAAGATCTGGGGTTTCATCAGTTTCCAGTAAACTGTCATCTGCTGTATCTCTGGGAGATTTTACAGTATTTTAATCATATCCCTGCAAATAGATAGTAATGGTGAAGGCTAATCTGATTTCTCTACAAGAGTATCAACCTTTGTTTTTATTTGGGACCACCACATCTTTTTCCGCAACTGCACATTCTGCTTTTTTCTTGTTTCTAGCCACCTCACAACAATCTGCTTTCATTGATGGAGAACAGTATTAAAAACTTAGTGAACAACCCATGTTTTGAAAGGTTATGTGTATTCAAAAGGCATGTTTTGTTTCCAGCTATTTTTGACATACTGGTATTTTTTAAAAGGTATTTTCCCAAACCAAAGGTCTGTCGCACCTGAAAAAATACAGTAGACTTGCCAGCCTCCAAGTCAGTGTGAAGCTTTCACATAACCTTTATACTAAATAACACTGGCAGAAGAAAATGCATCCTATGGGGGTGAGAAGAGAGTTCCTACAGTTTTCCAGGTAAACTGGTGGCATGTTAGATGCCCATGGGAGAGTTTACTTATTAACACCTTCCCAGTCATTTTTGAACTGGAAGATGTAACTCTCTTCTGCACCTCCAGTGTTGCTATGAAGATACCCTGCCATATGATGATGCTGAATAAAGAGTTTGCTTTTGTGTCCATTCTTAATAGTTCTGTTTAACTGTCAGATTTTCCTGAGACTATTGACAGCATTCCTGTTTTCCATGGCAAAACAAGGTAACAAGCATGGGTAGGAAACCCTTATGGACTTGTCTCCTGGCTCTCATTAGATTGGCTTAGGTACTCAAAGATTTGTATAAAGCAAATTAACCTCTTACCACAAAAATAAAGGGTTAATAAGCGATTCTTTTTATGTTAGCCTTGCGTAAAGTTACCTGGATCAAATGAAACATAAACATATGGAATTGAATGTCTCGTGAATTTTAGCCTTCAATTCAAGTTTGTTTCGTAGTTTCAAGTACTCAAAAAAGATTATGTGAATTTCTCATCCACAGTACAGACAAATTGGAGGGGGTAAACCCCTATGTTCTTTAGTGTCATTGTAGATAGAGGGTAAACCCCTATGTTCTTTAGTGTCATTGTAGATACCTAGACAGAATTTGTGTCTGCTTGTAAAGCCTTCCCAAAGTAATAATAAGATCTCTACATGGGGCACAAATCTTCTATTTTTAAAAAATATTGCATACTTTCTCTGTTTGTTACAAGGGTAGGACACAGACAGAGGACTCTGATTTGCATTGAACATGTGTCCATCAAACCAGGAAGAAGGATGTGGTGTTTTCTCAGTGTACAATGGACAATGTACAAATAGATAAACATGGCAATCTAATAACTATAAAGGTCTGTGATTTTTAATATCAAATACTTTTACAATTTTATTCTGATCGTTGCATATAAAAGTATTGTCTTAATTTAGACAAGTCTTCATATATAAGCATATATTCAGAATTAACAATTTAAAAATTGTTTTACTCTTTATGGCTTATCTTTCTCTTTAATGATAGTGATACTTCAGCAGCACTAGATGGCTCTTCTTGTATCCATGCTTAAAAGCATAGCAGCCAGAAAATGGCCAATATTGTCAACAAGAAAAAAAATTTGATGAGCTAGATGGTGAAGTAGCTTATATTCCAACACTTTCAATAGGACTTAGCAGCTTTCAAAAGCATTATCAACCATCAGTTCTTTTACTGCTGGCTGATTAATTTTTTCTTGTTATGCCTAATGTTTAAGGTTTTTTGATTGATATTTAATAGAGTATAGATAAAATAATCATTTACATAAATGAAAATACTACACACATATACCCAGCAATACAAAATAACAAAAAATCTCATCAACTGTAAGCTGTTTTCAGGAAACAGGCCCCTTCTTTAACTGTACACAACTTCATTTGTATCAGTTAAGCAGAATGTGAATGATGCAGTGGCTTTATTGACATAAGAGATAGTGGAAGAATTTAACTCTGTCTATAGGAAAAGCTGTAAGTTTTGAATTCACTTTTACCTTCAGGCAGATACATAAATATTGTCTGTTGCAAAGAGCAAGAATGTATAAATACAGACAATAAAATATTTTTCAATGGATACACAGGTGAAAGTGTTCCTCTGACTGGAGGAACAGTTTATTCCTTTGGTTTATTGAGGTAACTAATCCATTGTATAGAGAATGAAGCTGTGATATGTGTAACTGTGTTTTTACTCTTAGAAAACATAAAGAAAGATTTATAATAGCTACTAAAGAAATGTTTGTTGCTAAAATGATCCAGCAGAAGACACATTGGTTGTGACAAAGTTCAAATCATCTCCACACTCTCCTAATTTAGGAGAGATTCTATTTTGCATATTCTATTTTTTTATGTATTGACATGTGGTTTCATAAGCATCCATCCTTTGCCTGGTGCGGAAATATTCCTGCTTAGATCGCTACACAAAAGATCAGAAATAGCAACATCAAAATATTTTATATTTTTAAATAACAGAATTATCAGAATATTAAAAAATAATGTTTAGAAATCCCCTTTAATTAACATGTAGCTAATGCAATCAGAAGTGACTGATGCTTTAGTTTATATAAAGAGTATTTGTATTTTTCAAACCAAGACTCTGTAGAAAACAAAATCCTCACAACATGATCTGTAGGGTCCTTCAAAAGGATCTTTTTTCATATAAATTGCATCTATACAGGTTTGGTTCTCAGTGACACAGCTGTGTCATTCTAATAATTATTGCTTACATCAGTATGTATCTGAATTTCAAAATTCTTGCTGATACATTTACTGAGCTGAGTTTCTTTCTTACACTTGTTAGTCTTGTTTACAACCATGTTAATATTTCACTAGGGCTTAAAATTCAACACGATATACAATGTGCAAACTTCAGTCTTGACTGCCTCAATGGCAATGCTACAGCCTCTGTTGCTTCCGTTTACATGCACATCACCAGCATCCTGTAGGCAGGTACAAGAAAAAAACCTGTTGAGCTGTGCCTTTTCCTGCCGCTTTCACACCCTCTGTCCTGATGTGGACTGTGCCTGCTGCCAGCCAGGCAGCAACTGAAAAGCATCAGGGAATCACATTACGTTAGATCCTTCCAGCTTCGAGTAATTAACTCAGTGCATTTTATAGAACTGGGATGATTTTGAAGAAACTCCAATGGAATATATAGACAATTCCCTGGCAATCAGTAAGTGCTGGCTTCCCTTTATTTACTACAAGTTGGGGTTTTTTTATATATATGCTTCTGATCTTTCACAAAACTCTGTACAAATGTATTGGACTCCTTGTTTTTAAGATTTCAGGGAGGCTGCTTTTTAGAGCTAAATCCTGTGAGCAATTTAACACTTTCAATTTCCATTAACTTCAGAATTCCTGGACTATTTATTGGGATTTGATTAGTAATTTGGTGGTAATGTTCAGGCTTTCTCTTGTGTTTTAAACTTTCCACTACACAGGATGTAGATTTCTTTATATCCTAGGAGTTTTTCTATAAAGAAAATCTATGCTATTCTACAGATCATTACAGATACTTTCTGTTTCAATAAGCGTTTTTTTATTACTCTCTCAGAGTCCAAACATATTCCTGTTATTAAATGCATTGTACACAAATACATATAAAATAAATATAGCATATAGACATATATAGACATGCCAAATTTAGTATATGGACATACAGTTAAGTGCAGCTTTACTTTAATAACTGATATAAATGTCCCCCAGAGCAACAGCACATACTGCGCCCTCAGTAAAAAGAGCTTGAGCTTACATTCTTGTATGAGCCAGCAGTATTGTTTCCTTCTTAACCACTGAAGTTACTTAACCAGTTTGACCAGGATCTAGTATCCTCCTGAGTAAAGATTTAACTACTCTATTGAGAGCAGTCCCTTTCCACATCCAGTCAGGCAAGTAAATGTTTACACTTTTTCCTAGGCAAAGCAGTAGCAGTTCATGGATCTCCCCTTCACAAACCTTGAATTAGCTTTCATCTTGCTGGCTTTTGTCATTTTCACCTTGTTTACCCTGGCTTCTATCTACAGTGACTCCCATGACAACAAAGAAGGTAATAATTTAAAATAAATGTAGTACTTCACAGGTTTTACTAACTAATATTCTAATTATAGGTTTTGTGATTTATCTTGCTGGTAGACTTACAGTACCTGACACCGGTTTAGGAATAGCATATGAAGGGCAGAGAGTAATCAGTTAAGGCATCAATAAAAGTCACAAGCATAGAAATTGAGATAAGGTATGGGAACAAGACCTTTTAGAGCTGGATCTGCTCACTCAGATAGAGCTGTGTCACACAACCGAGATCAGCACTGTAAGTAACCTCTGAGTAAGTCGCTGTTCTCTGTAGGGGAGGATTTTCTCCTGGCAGCAGTTCTGCTTCATGAAGCAGGTCTGCTTCATGCTTCATCTTATAACTAAGAAGTTATAAGATGCTTAGGCTGGCAAAACTGAGGATGTTTTTGTAATCAAGGTAAATGTTTGTTTTCATTATGCTGAAGGCAAGTATTTGCTCCCTTTTAAGAGAGTGAAAATGCAATTAAAAGTACAGGGGGTGTCTTTCTCCCATTCAAAAGGTTTTAAAATCTGGACCAAAAAATCCCAAGCAGATGCCCTGCTAGTTCTACAAAGGAGATTTAACATAACCTTACACCATCAGCAGAGAATTCCCGTGTTACAGGCATAGCACTGTCACAGCCACCGTCATGCCATCTAATCCCCTCCTGGCAGAAGCATCACTGGGGCTGCTGAAGCAGAGCAGGAGCAGGGAACTCTGGCTTTCCCCACCAAAAAAGGAGTTCCTCTCTTTTTCCAGCCTCCTGCCAAGCTTCCTCAAACTGGAGAAGGTGGGAGCAAAAGGAGGTAGGGAGAAAGTGACTGAAATAAACTCCTGAGGCACACAGCAATATAGGCTGTTGGTTTCTGCCATGTCTGATAGTAAATAACCCTGTGTTAACTTGACTTCTGTATTAAAAAAATATTTATTTTATGGGCATGTCACTGAGCAACCCTAATCGAATGCTCTTAACATTTGTGTCATATTGTAAAACTTTGGGCTGCCTAATAATTTGTGAAAAAATAGCTAACAGCATTAAAGGTGAGGAAGTGTTGCAGTGCTTGCTTCTTGCATGTCAATTAGCTTTCTTTCTTGCTCTTCTGCTCCCTTGCATTTTACATCATTTCTACGCAGAAGGGGAAACTGTTCAAAAACAGTGCACATTTCTGCAGATAAAGTGTGGTTGCCATGAGAACTGACCTCATTGAGACAGCGTGGACACAAGCAGTTTTCCCTGGGAGAAGTCCGCTGTATTGACATGGCAAGAACAGCAACTCCTCAGCTCCAAGGAGGATGGGGGAATCATGTGCTATAAGGAATGCAGTCCTCATGGCAACTAACAAATTTTGCATAGGCATGAACTTGAAAATGAGACGTTGTTTCACTGGTCTCTAACTGACATGTGCGTTTTACGAGATTAAAAAGGGGAGTTAACGGAATCATATTGATTTTAAACTTATGCCTTCCATTGCACAAAGACAAGGTTAGGTATCCTTCCTTGCCCTCAGCTTCCATAGTAACTTACAACAGAGGTGTAGTGTGAGTAGCTTTGGCAGCATCTCCTTAGCATCAAAACTGCATGAGAACTTCTCACTTCTCACTGTCCTGTTTTTATCACCACAGCCACACTTTCAGTCTGCAAAGAGAAAGCTAAGTCTTCTGCTGAGCACTGTATGAGAATAGACTCTTGATGTAAGAGCTCATAGGCACCAAATCCGTCAAAAACCTTGGTGTGCCCTCATCAGGCCTGGTTCTTATGTTCCCAGTATTCAAAGCACCTTGTATGCAATGATCTTGGACAGAACTGCTGTGAGAACAAATCCCACTTACTGTGCTAGTGAAACAACCCCTGAATTTAGGCAATGTCCTTCTGCAATAACAGAGCCTCAACCATGTTCATGTCTTTTCCCACAATGTTTTTAAAATCTTCTTTAGAGGAAAACCTGGAAAGCGGGGAATCTGTATGAAAGTCTGCTGCCTAAGATGCAGTGGCAACAGGGGAATAAAAATCATATATCCGCTTTGTGCTGACATTGATGGGTGTCTTGTTAGAAACGTGTCTTAATACAAAGCTAACTGAAACAGATATTTTGGTGAGATGTTCTTCATAGCTCTTTTAGCATGCTCATACAGCCCTAGGCCAGTACATTCTACTCACAGCTGAAAGGAATTTCCTTTGATTTTCATCTTACATGTTATCTGAACAGAAAAGGAGGGCTACAGAAGAATTCTAATTTATAATCCAGTTATTTCAGTTCAGTTATTTAAGTGGAGATAGTTGTACAACTGTGGGAGGATGTCTGTGCTTGTTTTATTTTCTCTTGTGGCCAGTAAGCTTGCATGTCATTTGCTTTTTCCACAACACAGAACACAGTGTGTATCCTTCAGTTATTTGTTTATATTAGGGAAAATGAGAAACAGAAATATTATGCTGTATTTCTCAAGCTTCTAAAGCAATTTTTGAGGGAAATTGTCCCAATCTCACCTCGTATTACCATATTTTATTATGGCATTGTATAGCAGAACATATAGTGCAAAGCAGCAGTTCCTGTGCCAGCTGAAAAGCCAGTGCTCAGTGTGCCACTTCAGTGACACAGAGCTTTCCTCCCTCAGCAAAATGAGGGCATGTTCTATAAGATTATTCTATCTTTGGGAAAATGCAATAATTCATGGAAATGTAAACACAATATCTTCCTTCAAAAGTCTTTTTCTATCTGAGAAAGAAAAAAAAAGAGATCCGAGAGTATTAATTCAGTAATTGAGGCAACTGAGATACTTAAGAGAGGGCACAGAACAAGTAGAAGGACACTGCAGAAAAATACAGAAGTGTTTCACTAGATTAGTCATAAGGAAATTTAATTCAGAAAACAAAATTTAAAATAAAGCATGTATCATTATGCTATACATAATAGTAGCTACTGGAAGCAGTACAGAAGCCTACAGAGAACCTAGATGTAAAATCAAGAATATACTCATTGCATGTGTTACAAAACCTTTTTTTGTTGGCATTACATATTGTTCTTTACAGCTAGAGGCCTACAGGCCAGCATCTGGCACAAACTGAGATACAAGACACAGATTATAAAAATTGACAAGAATGGAAACTGGGAATCTGTAGTTGTGTGTCCTTCTGAAGGAGGCAGCAGCATGTATTTCCTGCTACCCTTTTAGAAGAGGCTAAACCCACTGTCACAACGTATATAGAACACAATTTTCATGCTCCAGTGCCATTGTTGCTCTTATATAAGGAATAATGGTCAGGAAGCAGTCTTGATTCTTTCTTGGGTGTAGCAGGTAATCCTTGACTTTAATTTCTTGCACTATTTGATCTGTATCCTTCTCAGGAACCAAACCACAGCTTCTTGAAGAAAAGTGCAATGTACTTTACAGAGTTTTGTTCTAAGAAATATAAAAGATGACAGATTTATAGTAAAAAGGTAAAAGGAAGCAAGACATTAATGGCTTGTGATGCATTTGCTGCCCAGAAGAGACAGTCATTAGAACAGTTCCAAGTAGAGTTTATGCAATAAATCTCCCGCTGGAGGGAGTTGTCTAGTCACCATGAGCCACTAGCTCTGCTACTTGGAGAAGAATTATCCTGCAAAGACCAGAAGCACGACTCCCTGGAAGCCTTGCTCTCAACAGTGTCTGTTAGAATTGAAATCTCAAGTCTGAAGATTAAAATGCCTGTCTTGCCACTCATATCTCCATAGCGTGACAAGCTATTCCAAACACAGGTGCATGCAAGGGAGTTCTATTTACTTAGCATAGTTTTGCCTCAGGGAAGTTTGATTTCATATGCACTAATTGAATTTCAGCTGAAGAAATTTACTGCTTTGCACTACTTACACAGCATAATCCAAATGGTGGGACAGTAAGGAAGACACCAGCAAGAAATTCTTTTTTCCCCAGAAAATTTATTTCTCTCTATATTTAAAAAAACAAACAAACAAAACCAAAAAACCAAACAAAAGCAAGCAAGCAAACAAACAAACAAACAAACAAAACAAAAAAACCAAAAAACTATACATATAGTGAAAATAAAGGAAGGATTGCCTATAATAAACCACTATTTAAAAATTTACTTATATTAAAAATACTTAAATTCTTTGAGATGCCTTCTTTCATACAGGAAACCTGGTGCCTTCTCCCTTCTCACTGGTGCAAAGCCCTTAACTCTGCCACTAACACAGAAATTGGAAGAATTTTGTCTGTATTCATGAAGAGTGAGTTGTGGGATTCACATAATAAAAATGGTATTTCAAAAAGCTCTAGTTACCATAAGGTAAACACCAGCCTTCTGTGAAAGTAGAAGTGGCAAACTGACTGTGCTAAACACTATATTTGAGTTTTTCAATTACTTCTTCCAGTGTGAGGACTTGGGATATCCTGAACTCAGTGCCTCACTACCTACACAGAAGAGAAAGTGTCTGAGTGGTTAGTCAGTAAGAGATGTGAGCTACAAGCATGGCTCTGAATTTCATTGTCTCTCCAGTCTTAGCATTTACTGTCTGCTTGAGTACGTGAAGGGCTGAGCCTTTGTGAGCATGCAGATTGAAAAGTATGCTTTTTCTACCATAGCCAGCCAAACAGGATTTTGGAGGTATGAGTCAGCTTAAAGCCACTGAATCCTGGCAGGTTTCAAATGAAGGATACCCTTTCCAAGAGAGTCCATAAGGCCAGGTAATGAAACAGGCTCCAATGGCTGCTGCCAGTTCTCCACTGTGCAGGAGGGGTGTAAACCCACCTCCACAAAAGGGAGAACAAGCAAGATGCATCCTGGCTTTCTAATTACATGAGAAAATTACCTCAGGGTGAATCTGATCTCTGCTTTGAAGACTGATTAAGTATCTTGAATAAAATTTACCTGGTCATAAGATAACATATATAAAATATACATAGAATGTAGGAAGAGTATAAACACTTATGTTATTAACACTTATGTTATTATTGCTATGTTTTAACATAAAATACTCCTGATAGAAGTGAGTTACCATCTAACTTTCCCTTGTGGGATGTGAAATGATAGGGATTAAAGCTCTTGCACAGGCACAGGCATCACCGACTGCTGTCTCACAAGTGCCAGCAAACAGCATGAATTTCCAGAGCCTTTTGCTCCTAGAAGGGTAGGTGAGTCCTTTTTCTGAGATATTTGACAAATGCAGCTTTGAGGAAGGGAGAGTTCGCTCTTGGATGAACATCTTAATCGAACACTTCTTACAACTCTTTCTTTGAAACACTTTCCGGAAGGTAGCATGAGCTGGCCTACACTTCTCAGGAAAGGTGGAGAGGGAACGCTATATACGCTCAACACACACTAAACAAAGCAGTGTGTCAGGTAGAGCCATCCTACAGTGAAATCAGACTGGAGATCATTCAGTCTACATCTTAGGAGCCTCCTATAGAGCCAAAACTTAAATAAAATTCATTGGAAGCCAGGATGGCCACATTATCTTTGAATACAGCTGACTACCTGAAGAATACATTATGCAGGAAGACACAGAGATTCTGCCTAGATCCCATGGGAGTGACAATTTGAATTTACTTTATCCTATATATTATAAGCAATACCATAGGGTACTGAAGGATGCCAGCAGTACACGCAGTTTAATCATTTGTGCCTGGATGACTGCATATATCCCTTTTACTGCTTGCAGTACTTAGAAATGAGGTTTACTGAAATCAGTAGGAAAGACTTGCTTGGGCTTCAGATTCAGAATCCATTCAGAACCATGTTTATGACTGACCACAATCGTAGCATGTCTCATCTAAGAATACTATCACAGCACCAAGTAGGTGACTATGATATCCTTAGGTATATGAGAGGATGGAGCTACATTCCAACTTTTCCTCATTTCTTGCTTTCTAGTTGAAAGTTCCCTTACGAATTTCCTTCTGAAGCAGTTTTAAAAATGCCTGGGATGCATTTTACAATTTCTTAAGTTTAGAGAAAGCTTTTGTTGACCTGACTGTCCCTTTCACAAATCAGTAATAAAACTGTATGTGATTCATGCTCAAAAGAAGAACTTCTAGTTCTAAAGCCAAAATAGAAAACATGTATTTAAGATCAGTATTACACCTAATAGAGATCAACACAAGAATAGGACATTCTCAAAAATTTAAGTAATCCAAACATTGAACCATTTGAAGACACTGAAAGTGGGAGAGCATATTATAATTATGTTCTAAATTTCATTATTTAAAATGAAGCATTTAAAAATGGTAGAGAATTAAAGCTGCTATTGTGGGAGTACTTTTATATTTTGTGTTCTTCTCTGTACAATATATATTTGCACACATACATATTTCTCTTAAAAGTTATGGAGGTTTTGGGGAACCAGTATAGCTTATAGTAGAATTTGCAGATATACTACTAAAACCAGACTATCACTGCTTAATGGAAATATGGAGCCTTTTACTCTGTTTGGAAAAAAAGTCTGTATGAGACCACCCATGGTGCAGAGACTTAGTAACAATAGAGCCTTGGCTGGATTGAACTATTGTAAGTGCTGAAACACAATCATCTGTATGGCAACACAGACATGGTCTTAGAGGTGAAAATTTGCAGGTAATTGTTGAATAAATAAAATAATGTGTTCAATTTGAAGTAATTATAGTGATTCCTTTGTTTGAATGCAATTTATATGCAATTTTAGTTGCCAGGAATGTGAAAGTATTTAAAGGTATAGAGAAGGCCAGAAGAGGAACAGGTGGATAAAGGTGAAAATTACGTAATTTGCCTGGCAAGAGGAAGACCCTGTAGCAACAAGTGCTTTTCCTCCCTGCCTCCCATTCACTCATTGTAAACACCAAGGAGTTGCTTTCATTCGGAAGCATCATTTGCCACTGCTTCCTCAAGTGCAGATTGAATTCATGATTTCAACTCAAAAATGGCACAATGAGCAGACCATGGTGCTGATCAGAATGAAACAGAGGTTTTCCAAGACAGTTGCATCAACATCAAAGACAAAATTTTAGGGGTCTGGGTCATTAGGAGCAAGATAGTTTTCTTGTCTTGCTTTTTCTTTTTTTGAGAAAATTTCTGGAGAAAAGTAATAGGCCTACAGCAAGTCTTCCCACACACAAAAACATTACCAGGGTGCTTTTCAGTCACTCCCTGTCCTCCCAACAAATAGGTTTTAAAGTTTAATAACTCCTTTTTGTGGCAAAACTCAGGGAAAATAATTTACCTTTGAAAAGCTCTAGAGGGGAGGATAAAAAAGAAAGAAAAAAAACAACCCTATGTTTTCAAACTGATGATGTGGGAGTTAGAGTGAACATTAAGACTTTCCCAGGAATCCCTAAGGAATTAGCATATATTATTTTAAGTCCTTACTGCTGTCACAGGATTGCTTTTGAATTGTGGGGTAACACTCATGGATTGGATGACTTTTTTACTAAACTCAGAAGTATACAACCATTTTCCTCTCCCTGTGAGGTAAATGTTGCTGAGATATATATATATCAGAGTAAGTGCCAGTAAGGTTAAGGAGTCCTTCCCAGAGTAAAAAAATAACAGTTTGGGTTGGAAGAAGGCAATAAATAAGATTATTCCACCAGCTCCTGTTCTCTGTCTACTAATTCTGTTTTACCCCTTAGTAATATGACAGTCTTGCACCCCATCTCTGTGAGTGGTGTCTAGAAAAGACTTTTTGAGGACTATGTTTTACGAGTAGGGTGGAGGCTTCCCAGTTTTCTATGTATGGGATAATTCATATCTAAAAGAATATAGAAAGAAAAGGGCTTACCAATCTCAGGGATCTTTCCTGGCTTTGTGCCCTAGAAAATGCTAAAGATATGGCAAAGCTACACGTATGAGCATGCACTCAGACTCATTTTCTTCCTAGAAACACTTGGAATGTGAGTGATATTTGAAATTAGTTCATGCTTCTGCTTGGCTCTCATGCTCCTTTCTGTTCCCCTGAGCTCTCATTCTACCTCTGTCTCCACAGACTGCGGGTAACTCCCATCAGGCCAGTGCTGAACTGCACCTGTGAAGTAGAGAGGCAAATGCAGAAACATAAACAAGTGACCTTAGATGGGCTTTTGCATGACCTAGCTGGACTCTTGGAAACATACTTCAAATTTACTTTTTTTCTTTAGTTCCCTGTATTCTTCACTACATAGCCTTGAATTCCAGATAGATATACTGTTTTTTGGATAACAGAGTGGGAAGAAAGGGTGGGGGTAGATTTCTGTGAAAATGCCATATATCTGTCCTCTGGTTTATAACAAAGGTAAGTTTTTGGTGCATTGACTAAAAATAAAATCACCCTTTCTCTAGATAATTTCACTACTAAATAAGAATGATATCTAAGGTTAAGCAGAAAAATTTTAAAAACACATTTTAAAATGTCAATAAATCCATATATGTCCTCATTATGATTAAATTACATGCAACTTTCACTAAAATACAGTCTATTAACTTCTAAACTGAAGATGTCTTTACTGCCTGTTCCAAAACAAAGGATGCTCCTGACTTCCAGAAACCTTCTCAAAAACACTTTTCAACTTGAGGGAAGATAACAGAGTTCTAAAAAAACCCCAGACCCAACAATATTAAGAGATTGTTATTGTAATTTCAGTATAAGATAATCTAATGTGTTAGGAGGGGCAGGAGAAAGAGAAAATACTAGCCCTGAGTGAGGCAGAATTAAAAGTAGAAAGGCAAAATTTGGCCAAGTTAAGGCAAAAACATACGTGTTTTTCAGCAATCTCTTCATATAAAAAATATCAATAAAAAATTGAAACACTGTGAAGTAGTTAATTACAAAGGCATTAGAAATTAGAATTAGGTAATCTCAAGCACCCTCTTCCATTCTATATTTCTATAACTCTCTGTTACCTGCTCCCTCTAGAATCAGTCTACATTCCTCTTCCTGCTATGTGTGAACTTACACTCATGTATCTTAAACACAGGGGTCTTGAAAACTTCTTTCACTGTGATGCAAACTAGCAGCACTTTCCTTGCATGTGGGACAAGTTAAGAACACCCATATGAACAGGTAGGATGGCTCATCTGGAACTTGTTATGCTAACATAAATCAGCCGTGTTTGATACAGGCCTTAGCATAAATGAGACAAATGAGAGAGAACAATGCTATGTTATCAGGGAGAGAGCAGAGACATCAGTCTAGTAACAGTTCAAATACAGGACAGGATAATTAAAGAACAAGTTAGACAAATATTTTAATTATTGGATAACAGCACTTTTGAAGGATGCAAAACCAAAAGCGCATATTTTAAAGGTAAGAACACAGACACGTAAGGACTTTAGGACCAGTCAGTTATGGAGAAAGTACAGAGCAGTAGAAGGAGATGAGGAAATAACATAAAAAGAAAAGAAAGAAAATCAAGCTAGACTTCACAACATCTAAAGGCATCACCAGTCTTCTGAGGGAACACAATATTTTTCCTAGCTGTAAATTTATGCAATAGGTCAAATATATGTTGGCCTCATTTTCTTTGATGGCAGATTGTATAGATCAGATATCAAAGTATGCTAAACTTATGCAAAGACTGCAATTTTAAAACCACTAGTGGTGGTCCAAAAGAAAAGAACTGGAAATGGAGTAACTCCCTAATGATGAATTTCAGGATTTGAATGCTATCAAAGTAGAAAATATATTCTATTTTATACAGCTAATAAAGGTCAAACATCTGAAAAGATGGACTGGGATGCATATGAAACTGTAAAATGAAGGAAAGTAGTAGAGCTTCCCAAAGGAAAAGTAGAAACCAAAGAAGTAAGTTAACACTAGAGATTGAAGAAGTGAGAGTTTTGCATAAAAATGGTTTATACATACATTTAAGCTCCTCTCACTTCCTTCTGTTATTAAAGAAAATTGGAAAGGCCCACAACATGCCAAAGTTAAGATATATGAAAATAAAGCCAGTGAGCTCCTTATCTATAGATAAAATGCAGGGGAAAAGTCAATTTTCAGGCAATAAAAATACAAAAGTAGGGTGAGACCAGAGATATAAAAGACCAGAGATGCTGTTTAATAATCCACCAGTTCTCATGTCTAATTAATGCTCTCAGGCACATTATAGAGAAAACTGCAGACTTAAAGATTAGTGAACTTACCATACCATGGCTAAACCAGGATCAGTTTGATCCAAACCTAGAATAAATAATAAAAAACTGGAGGCTGCAAAAAAAAAAAAAATAGAGAGAGCTCAGAATAAATTAGTAAATTTATACTATAGAGTGGCACCAAGCTTTTTTTAGAAAATAGGAAGACTCTTTTAATAAAAGTAACAAGGTACATTGAAACAGGGGTAAGATACTCTGGTTTGATTTTGTTATGCATATTTTATTTTTCTAGGTTTAGAACTAAAGTATTAAAGCGCTGCTCATATAATAAACTCAAACAAATAGAATAACACTCTGCTAACAGTCACAGATTATATAGGTAGCTATATAGAAGTGCATTTATCAATAACTAAAGTGAACTTTTTAACAAGTTAACAAAAGTGGGAAGTAGGATAATCAGTTTATTTGTGATATTTCTTCCTATTTTACAATACTCGAAATACTTTTAAAGAAACAGAAATGCTGACAAGATTTTCAGAAATCACTATCAGAAAATTCTGATATGCACACCCCCTGATGGTGGCATTCTGAAGGAAAAAAATCATTAACAAAATTTGAATATACTTGGAAAAAAAATTGAAAACATAAATACACTTACAGATATGTAGCTCTGGCAAGTTCTAGAAAGTTATCTGTGTGCACTTAATGGCAAAATGGATTTATGAGAATTTTTTTCAAAGCTTTAGGGTCTACAACTCAATAAAATTAAAACCAGTTACATGTGAACTGTTGCAACTGTTTCACATGCTTAGAGTTTATTGATTTTTTTATTTTGGCACAGTATATCAGGGATATAAAACTAAAGATGGTTTGAATACAAACTTATGGAATGTTAGACTTTGATTTTATAAACTCAGAAAATGTGTTCATATTTACAGATCTTTTCTCGATTTCAAAAAATTCCCTACTACCAATCAAATAAATATTTGAAAAAATGTTATTTTTTTTTCTTATTTTAAAGAGCAGTACTTAAACCACACTGAAAACCAACCAGATTGTAATCTCTCATGGTAATGAAAGATTATTCCTTCAGCTACCATGACGTGAGGTTTTAGTTATGCTTTGGAATTAGACTTGCTAAAAAAATTCCAAGCTTTGAAATTTTTTTGACTATTTTTAGTGGGGAAAACAGGTAGTTCTATGCACATATGAAATGTATTCACTGCTAAAAAGAGAAATGCTATTTGACATTGGTCTGAAAACATTAATTACTTTAATTATTTCCATTAATTCAATTATTTAAATTTCCTTCTTCTTCCAAACAATCATGACTCAACTTTCAGTCACAAGCAGCTTGAAATAAAGGGAGGAACATTCTTTACCTATTCCACATCTTTTCCACTGCCTGTAGAGTTAATATATTGTGGTTTTGGTTCACAGTTAATTCTAATAAAAAAAACAAGAGCTTGGGAAACACACAGATGGCCACACACTATAAATGATATGGTTGTCTTACGTGGGCGGTGTGTAAAACATTGCTTCTTCACTCCCTTATATCAAGCCTGAAATCAGAAGGCACTTGGTGCTGATACGCCTTTTGCATTTTCTATTTTTAATTTATGTAAAAATTTTATTACTTTCAAAAATAAGTCTTCTCAATTAGGAAAACTATTGTGTAACATAATCTCTCCAAAATCTAAAATGTTTTCATTGATGATAGCTTTATTCTCTCCAGAGGAAAACTATGCACAGGAAGGATACGAGAAAAGGAGCAAATCCAAGAAGAAAAAGAAATGTTCAAGTATGACTGAAGTGGTATAGAATACTACCCAGGTCCACTGTTGGAAACACTTCTGAAAGAGGCAGCTCTGGAAGCTGGTCACCTGAAGACAGTGAGAAAACGGATGTGAGAAAGGAAGGACCTGATCATCCATCAGATGGAATCCAGACGTGACAATTAGAGTTAATGAACCACGACCCATGAAGCTGCCTCAGCACCTTTTTACAACCCCACTTCATGGCCTTAATAAAAGTACCAGGGCTTATTTTACAGAGCACATCTGCTCTAAATTCTCAAAGGAGAAACTGCATTCAGAAGTTATGTTTGGTTTCTTCACCACTTTTCAGTCATGTATAAAGAATATTTAACAGCTGTGTATTTACTTTTCTATCTGTTCAGTCAACAGAACATGGGAAGATAATGGGTTTTTGTATAATAAGACTGCATGGTTATAATAGTTATTTAGCTTACATTAACATAATAAGCTGCTGAGGATGACTGAAAAGTACCAGGCAATTTTTTTTTTATTTTTCCAATGTAATGGCATCTATATGCAAGTAATGCCTTTGATTTCAGATATTTAGAAAGAGTGTGCTCTAAAAAAATCAGGTTGATTTGCTGCTTTTCAAATATGCCTCACTCAGCCTTGGTACTGAAGTCTTCAATTTCTTCAGAGAGCAGGTATGGCTAAGCAATACCTCTTCCTCCCCTAAGTCCAGAAGATCTGATGAACTCCTAAGCCTGAGGTTGAAACTGGTCTTTCTTGCCTTACAGACAAAGGATTTCTGCAGTTATCCAGTTTTTGGATCCTACCCATTTCCTTAGGTCTCGACTACCAATTCCATACCCACATTGCTTCTTCTGTCCAGAAGCAAAAAGAAGCCAAGGGGAAGGACAAAGTAGCTCATAGATTAATTGTTAGAAGACTCCCTTTTGCATAGTAGGAGATGACTGGAAGAGCTCTTGTATAGACTTTAAGGTATAATATATACAGGGAAGAAGTAATTTTGTTCCTCACCACAGTAACATGAGTGAAAATATGACAAAATTGACCCTGTTGTATCACAAAGCTTCAGATGGCAGTTGTTGAGAAGCCTAATTATGAGGTATTGCTTTCAGATTGTCAGTGTTTTTCAGGAAAGTAAAGAGAATACCTTCTTTTGATATTAACCACTAACTTAAAAATTAATCAATCTGCATATTAATCCACGACTGAATCAATGCTAGAGTCATTCGTCGGAAGGATAGTATATTTTGTCATGACATTATTGGTCAGCCAACTCTGATATGTATACAGTGCTAGCACAAAAATTATTTTCCCAAAACAAATCAATTCCCTATGAAAACTGATATCTAAATTACCATTGCTTTTTGGTAATGGTAGACAATTCCAGGAACACTTGTCCAGTTTGGCCCTTGTCAAAGCCTCCTACAGTAAAATATATAATTCTTCTCTTTTTATAATAAGCAGAAAATATCAACACGTTCAGGAGACATTCTGCTTTGTTTGTAGGAACTCAGTGGGAGCCTGTGCCTCATTTAGACTTTGCCACTGAGTTCCTGCAGCTTGGTTCAGAAACCTGCAAAGGCAAGATAGTAAATGCAGAGCAAGAGCTCGGGAATGATGTCTCATGGCCAGCTGCATTCCAATTCCCTCAGTGAGTTAAAAAGTGATTGGTCATATCCTGCTTCTGGGGAAGAAAAAGACCCTCAGCAGCCAGTACCTGTTTAACTCTGAACTGAAAGAAAACCACCATTCAGAAGAGTCCAGTTTGGTCTCACACATGGAAATGTCTGTGGTGCAGGACTTCATTGGGAGCTGTTGCCTTTCAAGGGAAGAGGCTCACAGAGCTTTGTATTAAATTTTTTTTTCCTATACTTTAAATAACAGATTAAATAATAAACCACTTAATTTTATTCTAGCAAAGTTTTCTCAAATAAAATTAAAAAAATTTTTACATTGTTTTAAATGGCTTGGTAATAAAAATCCCTGAAACTGTTACTCTTAGTGTACATACTATTGATAAGACAAGTTCAGGTTTATCTTCTTTCCTTGTTTGTTTGGTTTTTGTTTTAACCTTCCTAGAGCTCATTAAATGTATTGAAATCACAGTCAAACTAGAGAAAAAATAATATGTGAAGCTTAAAAAGCAGCAAAATTTAAAAATTATTGAAATAGTGTTTGCTACAAATACCTTCTGCCTTGCTTAAACATCAAATTATTTTTGTAAATTTGTGTTCAGAGAACATATACACATAGCAAATAAACCACCCACAGACTGAATGATGTTTTAAATGCCCACTACTTTAATAATTTCCTTCAAGCCAATTCTACTTCAGTAACTAAAGAACATATAACAGAAGAAATAATTGGTTTTAACTTCAAGCGTCATATAAAAACATTTAATGGAAGATCTCTATGTAAAAAAAGCTTTCTATGAGAAAATGCTCTACTAGACATTTGTGGTTTCATGAGCTGTTTACAAGTCATTCTATTCTAACACTTTTTATTTAAAAGTAACAGGAAATTGTATTTCATCATAAACTTTGTTTCTTTGGGGTTTATTTAATTTAATTATTTTTTAAATTATTGTTTTGATGACATTTAATATACAAAGCAGTCATTTTCATTGAAAAGAAAACACTGTTCCTAATCCAATATTCTTGTCCAAAATAACTCATGTTTATAGGGAGACACAGCAAGGAAAAAAAATATTAGGTGTTGACTCAAAGATAAGAGAGCATTTAACTCAGAATTGTGGCTTGGAAGAGCTAGATCAGGCATGAACATTCAATCCTTCTTGGCAGTTACAGTCCAAGTTTTTGTATACATTCTAACCAAAACTAAAGTGAACTTTCCAGTTTCTTAATTAATAGAAGATATACAGAACCAACATCCCTACGTATATTGAAAAATGTCATGTGTACTAATTAAATTACAGTATTAAAAAAAAAATAAGACATCTATGTGTACCTTCTCAATCTATGTTTTCAGCAGCTTATGTCCTACTTTCCTTGCTGAGATGTTTTTCAACTTTGTCTTGAAGGCTCTCTTAAGACAAAAAACTAACAATAAATACTAGAAAGAAATGTCTGTCCGCTTGAGGAGATCCTCTGAACAGATCACCATACACTTTCTTACTTAAGAATCTGATTGCAAAACCGTTTAAGCTGAACTATGTAGAAACTACTGTGAAATAAGAATATCTACAAAGGAGCTGTATTACTTTAAAAATGTTCCATAGTAAATCAACTTAGCATTCTTGTACAGGCAAAGACTGAGCCTTTCCCAGACATGTTGGCAGATACCACTATACAGAGATAAAATCACTTCTTACATTAGTGCCCAGTCACAACAAACCTAATTTTAATGATTTGTAGGTATAAACACTGGAACATTGAAGGTATCATAGAATCCTCACCTAATTACTTACCTAACTGTTAGGAAACAGGAAGCAGCTATGCACACACAGTTAAAGAGGCAGAAGGCCTTTTACTAGGAGCATACAGTTACACACTACTCGACTAAAATTCTGTGCTGTCTTCTGTTATTATGCACAATTCAAAGATATTTTTCTCATTATGCTCTATTACGTTCTGTAAGAGAGCAACACCTTGACCTACCACCTTGAACAGCTGTACACTTTCCTGCAGGTAATTTCAGCCCCTCATGAGTATCCTCCTTCTCCTGCTGTATTAATACCATTAGTTCTGTGACATATGGTAAAGTTTTCCAGCTGTAGAGGACCCAAGTAAAGATCCTGGCATGAGACATGTCTTTCAAATGATGTAAATCCAGTTTTGTTGAAATCAGGAAGATTTTTACAGTTGAATTCAATTAGGGAACAACTTAGACTTACTAGCCCGTTCCTACTCATGTCACACGTTAGGGAAGAGAACCTGCAATTTTGGAAGTGACTTGTTCAGCTTAATGGCCACATCCTCAGGACTGAAGTTAATTAATTTTTTATTAAAATTCCCATAAGAGTGATTTCCCCATAAGGGAAGTAACCCTTTCCAATACATACCATAGACATGAAGTAAATATTTTCTTGTTCTGAGATTTAGCGGTTATTACTCCTTAGTTCTACTCATGAAGTGTACTATTTCTGCACTGACTGACAGGGATAGTTCCTTCTGGCTGTTGTCCTCCTTATTAAGCTTTATTAGGTTATTAACAGTAAGAAGCAGAAAAGAAACAGTACTGTTAGTTGAGAAAGTTAATTTTAGAAAGCAATGGAAAGTACCTTACCAAAAAGGTGGATCTAAGCCATGAGCTTTAATGAGGTAATAAAAAACACTAAGAAATAAAAAGAAAAAAAAGTTGTGTGAGCAATTATTTTACATGAAATCGTGTAAAGAATTAATTATACCAGATTATCATTGCAACCGTATAGAACTTTTATATAGTAGATTAACAGTTGAAATCCATATGAGATTATTATTTATATGTACACCTGAATATATGTTTTACTATAATAGAAAGTATTTCATAGATCTTCCAAAAAATCTTGCAGCTATAGACTTCCATTTCATTTTGAATGGAAATATTTTTATATTTTCAGGCAACATGTATAGATTTTGATTATTGGTACTGAGTCATTTAGTAATATTTCATTTTTAGTTTCATAATTTATTTGCACCACAGTGAAATATGCAACCTAGTTCAAAGCTAATGATACGTAAAGTATTAACCCTGACAGCTGAATAGGGTCTTTATATTCAAAAAAAGAAAGGATGAGTAAAGAAAGAGAGGACAGAGGCACTGACAGGCATAACCATGATTCTTAGGAAAACATACTTTAAGAAGGCACATCACAGCATTTCTATGCAACCAAGCTCTTACAGTCTAAGGGACAGCTACACTAGCTGCTCTACGCTAACTTTCTACATGGGCACTTATGCACTAAAAGAAGGGGAAATTTTACATCTTTAGCTTAACTCACTTTCAAAGAAGACTAAAAATAGTGGTCTTGGTTTAATATAAGATTTAAAGGTAATACCTTTTGCATGCTATTTTCTTGCACCAGATAATTCTTAGTCAGCCATCTCCATCCTTTTCCATTACAGACTACTGGTAACTGTCCTCTCTTTCACTTGGAAGTGGTTCAGAAGTCTGGCCCACAAGTACTAACATACCCATGTCATACGAATTGACACTTGACCAAGTCTCAAATTCATCTTAGTATTTTCTGAATAATTAGCAAACAAGGAAAATAAACAGGAAGATCCTGTTTGGAAGCACCTCACTTTGAAGGACTGACAAAAGCCACCTCACTATAGCCTTTGCAACCAAATGACATTTTCTATGACTGGCAGAACGGAGCAGCACATAGTATTTATAGGGGATCCCTTTGATCCCAAGAGTATCATTTACCTGTGTTACGGGTCATTTAATTATTTGTCTTCTCAGTCAATATCCTTTGATGTAACAAATTTCAGGATGCCAGTCTTCTGATATATGGCAAAGTAATTAATTCCAGCAATAATATCTTCAAAGATGATGTTGCAATTCAACACAGAAGAAAAAAGCCACAAAAGTAGAAAAAGGTTAGACACAAATAGTATATCTCTTTAATTCAGCTAAGAACCAAACTTTGTATGTTAGTCTGAGTGAGTTATTTGGAAGATTTAGATACACCATATAGCCTTTTTCTTTGTTTCATATGATACATGTGAATCTTGTATTTATTAAAAGGTAATTAACAGATGTAAATTCATGGGACTATATGTTTACATGTTTTAAAAAAAAGGTTACATTAAAGTGCTAAATATAGGGTTCACCTATTTTTTTGAAATTAAAGAATTCAGGATGTAGTCTCATTCCTTTCCTAATAACACTCAAAGTACAGTGATATTGAAGCCATGCAGCACACATATGGGCCTTTATTTCTAACTTTACAACTTGTGCAATTTTTTAAAGTTGTTCAAGTCAGACCAAAAATGAGTTCTGTGTAAAAAAAAAAAAGAAAAACATACACTGTTGCCGGGGTTTTCTTATCCCATTCTATAACGTACCTAGGCTTCTGGTTATTTTCTACATTTCTTTGAGCATCACTCTTGAGCTGCCATGGACTATAAGGGAGTATGCCCACTTTCATCATTAAATCCCAAGAACCAGGCTGACTGCCAAAAGACAAAGTTCTAACTCAGAAAATTGAAGTCATGTCTGCGTAAGCTAGTAGTACAGCCCCAGGGGAGAAGACTTGCAGAGCAAAACTGTTGGTGCCAAGAATGCAACATCCACAATACGTGTGTTTCAGGTGGGTTACTCAGACTACTTGATAATCAGCTTATGTGGACTGAATGTTGATTAGCAGTTGAACTTCATCTTGTACTCACCTTCAATTCATAACTAGTGCAAAAAGAATCCACTTCACAGTTTCTGATACTGCTTCATGACATGAAGTCAAGCACAATAATTGGAAATGAGTGGGAGATTCATTTTAAAAGTGCACTGCTGATATAAATCCCAAATTGAGCAAGCAGCTGGACAGGGTGTGATTTCATGAATGAACATACTAGTGTAGCAGCACAAAAACTTGAAGTTTAATATTCTTACCTGCTTTGTCATAATTCAGACAAAGTAGTCAGCCCTAAAATTTGACATTTTACTCTGCTTCACATATTCTGACTCTAAAGATCTGAATTAAAATTAGGTCTGGAAGCAGTCATGCTGGAAGCTTAAAACTCTATTTGCATATACCTATTGCTTTCTTCACAGAAGTTTTCTGCAAAGACACAATTTATAAGATTAAAAGGTGCGATCATTTCAACTGATTGAAACAGATGAATTTGAAAAGTATGTAAAATCTGACATTTTTTTCTGGGTGGCAGGGTTTGTTGATAAGAAATTTTCTTTATTACTACCCGTGTTTGCTCATTTCTATAATGGGATGATGACTGTAGTAAAGGTCATATTGGTTCAATACAGCATCACAAAAAAGCATAGAAAGTTTTGAACTATACATCAAAGAAATGTCCTTATGAATTTAATAATTTTATCTTTGTTTTATTAGGTATGCCATTAATTATCTGTTAACATGGAAACTGCATAAAATGTTAGCCATTTATACTTGGATGCAAGTCCAAAATAACACTTGAAATTATAATTAATGAAAACTTAGCTCTTCAGCTGTTAGCTGTATGACCCAGTGTCTTTTTTCTGATGTAAAGGATTATATGGAGAGAAATATTATGGCTGGAGAACACTACAATGGTTCGGAAGAGCTGCACAGCCATGACTGAGAGAGGACTAAAGAATCTTATAGGGGTGGAAGATTTTCATCTTTTCATCTTTCCCCAAAAACCCTGGGGAAACAGGAAAATAATGGATAAGTACTACACAGTCCTCATGTGGCTTCTGCCAGCCCTTCATATCAGTGCCTGTCAAAGCTTCATCTACAAGCTGATTTAACATGTAGTCACTCAGAATGGTTGCTTTCATATCAAACCTCCTTATCTACCTGCTCTGCTTGTGATAGATGGAAGAGGTCATGGCCTTGGGAGGAATTATTTGCAGATCTTCCCTCTCTCTTTTTCAGTTAGTTTTTTATTTGAAAGGGAATCTTAGTGGTGTTATTTACAGCCCTGTTAAGGGAGATTAGCAGAACAGAAGGACAATGATACAGATATAAATTCTATGGTGTTATTGCTCCAGGCCAGAAGAGATGAAAGGACAGCGCTAAGGGCACAGCATTTTGGTGTCTGCTTTCAAGTTATGGCCAGGAACCTGAAGGTAACAAAAACTTATCTACAAAAGTATTAAAGGGTCATCATACGGATAGATGCTTTTGGGTATCCAGTAATCTCCTCCTCTTCCTTTTTCTTCCTCTTCTTCCTTTTCCTTCCTACTCTTTTTTCCTCCACCTCTTCTTTCTTGTTCCTCTTCCTTCCAATCAACAAGAATGTATTTTGTTTAACATTTACTACACTTTTCACTACTTAAAGGGCTGATATATGGGGTTTTTTCTGTGTTATATATTTAATATAAAATATATAATTTGCCAAAATGATACTACATATAATTTTATTATCCTTTAATTCTTGAAAATTTATTATTTTAGAACCCTTAAGTAAAAAGTATGTAATTTTTTTGCCAATCATTTAATTATTGTGTGCAATATTTATCATTTCAAGACTTAGTTTTTCTGCTTAAACGCAGTACTCGAAACAAAGCTTTCTCAACAGCAAATATTCTATCTTTCTATGTTACATATTTACCATGGTAGAACACCTAGCACCTCTTAAAATTACCTTTTACCACTTGTTTCAGAATGTCGCTATTGACATTCTAATGTGCTGAATCAATTATGCATGCACATGCTGAAATTCCTTTTCAGACCTAAAGTCTGCAGTCAGATGCATTTGTAGTCATAGATTTCATAGCTAACTATCTCAAACCCACTCAAAGCATCTATGAGTACCAATAAATCACTAACTTCCTGCAGGCAGGAATTCTCAGAAAAATATTTCCCTATTTTAACAGCATCTTTTTCTTTCTTTAAAAATCCAGACTGATAGTAAAAGTAAATTAATTTATGTATTTTTGCATTTAAAAAAATAATAAATTGTAGAGCTGTTATAACTACTGTATTTATTAAAATGTTTCAAAGTGTTATAAATGACATCTAATTAATTATTTAGAAGAAAATTTGTTGAAACTTAAGTAACTAGCTTTCAGTCAGAATTTATTGATTTAAACTCACTTTAGAGTTTGAACACTTTTTAGTTGTAAATTTAAAAGCAAAAAGTCAAAGGTGACTTAAATTTAAAATGAAAACTCCAAAAGTTTGCTCTTCCTGAATATTCCTTAAACTCCCCTTCTGCTTGACAGATATAACAGTGCTTATCTTTGAATGATAACATGCGATCTTAAAGAATGAACACCAAATGAAGTACAAATACCTGCATAGCCACAAGCCCAAAATTGACACTAACTTGGAGATTTGGTTTTACTTCTCATTTTAAGGCCCCGAAGCTGAGTTACTGGAGATGGCATAAGCTGCTTTCACTGTAGTTGCTGTGGCCTTGGCACATTTGAACTGGTTACAGAAAATGGTAAGAAAACAAGCATGACCAGAAGATGGGGTCTGGAAGAAGGATGAGAGTTAGAGACACAAAATGAGGAAAGCAGAGGAGGGATAACAATAAAAGAGAAATATAAAAAGAATTATGGGATTAGGGAAGGAAGAAAAACCATAAAGAGAAAGTAGAAAAGCAAGGAAGGAAGAAATAGATTTTGAACAAAATGTGTTTTACTCCACTGTATTCCTTTAATCAATAGTTACTCCTAATCTTATACTAAAAGAAGGCATTATATTGGAGTTATTTAATTGTGTAGTACAAGAACTACCTCTCTCCATTATGTCACTTAAATTACTTAGATATTTAAAACTTTTTTTTCTTTCCAACTTGCCTCTTAATCTTTATCTCTAGATTCTTAGACTTCTTTTTTTAAAGTCTTCAGTGAAAGATTTTGTACTACCACCCTTGGCTGAACACTTGCTCTTAAATAGATGTAACAGAAAAATGTTATGCTCATTTGGTTTGCTTCTCATAAGTTTCAGCATGGCATAACATTTCCTTGACAGTGCTTGCAAAAAGCACAACTGGCAAGCAAAACAGCTTCCCTTTTTGTCACATGAACACAACCAAGCTCAGCAAGCTCAAGAACACACACTCAGCAACATTGAAAAATATGGAAGAAGAATTTCAAGCAGAAGAACAATTCACTATAAAAAGAAAGGGAAACTTATAAAGAAAAGGATATGATAAGAGCAATTGATGCATACATTCTACATGATGAGGAAAACATGGTGTAGACATCAGCATCCACTGCTGCTCATTCATAGCACAGAAGTTCAGTGCTTGCAGAAAGTAAAACATCCCCTCATTCTTTAGTGCTCATCAAATTATCCACATTTCTTTTTTTTTAAATATTTTTCCCCTACTTTTGGCAAAAACTTGCTTATTGTGTGGTTTAGCTACCTCCTTTCATCAAGGTGTCACTTTCTTTATCTTTTGCATTCATGTCATCTCTTATTACACTTATCTTCCTCCGCCCAGATTTGTTCTACAGACTTTGTGAGGACATAAAAAGTGCAGTGGGAATATGAATGGCAATTCTCAATTATTTTTCTTACATTGTGTTTTTATCAGTGCCCTATCATATTGAAAGAAGTTGTCTACTCCTCCTGTTGTGATTAATTTATATTTGTGTGTTGTTTGCTCTTAAAGTATTTCTTTTTGTTCAGGTGGATATCTAAAAAGCAGTAGTATTTCAGGGAGGTAGCTTTTGGTGTTTTGGTGACAGGTGACCTAAAGTTGCTCTGTATTTGCTTAGCTGAATTGGCTGTAGATAAGAGTTATACCGAACAGTCTCCCCTTTCCTTAAAAAGGGGTTAAGGCTCATGCAATCTGTGATATGTCTTTTCAAATTTAGGCTCCTCTCTCACTGTTTCTCTTCACAGAATCCTATTCCCTTACTTCAAAGCATTACTAACTAGGAGAGTGACCACCTGAAATGTGCATAGACCTTAACAAGTCTTCCCCAAGAGCCTGTATCACATATTTGACAAGTTCATACAATACCTCCTTAACTTTGCCACTGAAGGGAACTAGCACTGGATGAAACCTTGCAAAGGAAGTCAGACCACTAGATGAAGATTCAGACTGAAAGTCCTCATAAAGGAAAGCTGTTAAGCAAGTGCCTAA